CTTGGAAAGCTGCTGAGGCCCCTGCCAGGAGCCATCTGTGCTGGCTCACCTGCAGGAGACAGAGAGCGTGGGGGCAGGTCTCCGGTGCTTGTGCTAAAAGAATACCCAGCTCCCTAAATCCCATGGCTTTCTCCTTGCCAAGGTGCCTACCTCGGGAGGGAGACAGAACAGATGCTGGAGTTCAGAGCTCCCAAAACGGCGCCTTCAATTGGCTCTAAAAAATAGAAACTCTAGGGTGGAAAATTACCACCGGCCCCATTAGCAATTAAGCAAATGAGGAGAGGCTGCTTCAGAGCCTCAGGTGCCATCACATTGTCTAGAGAAGGGGGTGGCTGTCAGGAGGGGCTGTCAGGAGGGACTGTCGTGCATGTGCAGAGCATTACCAGGCAGGCAGGTGTCCTGGAGCATGGTTTAGTCTGTTCATGCATGAGATAAGAAGCCAAAGGCATGGAAACTAATGTGTTGCCTGTCTCTACCTCCACCGCAGAGAAAGGCTAGGCCTGGAAGGAGCCTCAGCCAATGCATCTTGCAGGTGTGGAAATTAAGACCCAGGGATGAGTGACTGAAGCAGGGCCTCCAAGGTGACCAGAGACAAAGCCCAGCTGGCCTGCAGCATCTCAGCTCCTAATGCAGTGCTCTAGTGCGAGTCATTTACACAGGAAGGAGCAGAGCTGGTTGTTTAAGGAACGCCCGCAGAAAGCCCTTGTCTAGTGATGAACTCTCTTTCCTTCTGCTGGTTCTCCTTCATATAAATCCAGCCTCTTACATATTGGTTTGGGCCTCTAGCGTGTCATATTGAGGTCACCTGTGAACCGGAGGTACGTAATATCTGGCCTCTGCCCAGCCAGCCCCATATTCTAGTGGTTTAGGGAGCCCAATTCCATGTGGCCAATCATGGTTTGAATTTTGGCCCTGGAAGCTTGAAAAACACACTGGGTGCATGTGCACAGGTGCCCCAAGTCCCACCAGGATGAAAAGGAGAAAGGATTGTGGTATGGCCAAGCCTCATCGGGAGTGTTCTCCCCTCATCCCTCCAGCAGGCACGTCCACCCTCTGGCAAGTAGGAAGAAAAAAGATACATGATATTTGGCTATGGAGGAAAAAATCCATTTCATTGATCTTATTTTATTATAAAAGTAAAAGTTCTGGTTGTCATTGAATGATGTGCATGTATAGAATAGACTAGGGAATTATATGTAGAGATTTGGAAAGCAGAGATGGCTCCTTGCTTTATGGTTCATCTACCCTATTTAAGAACATCCCACCTTAATCCCATGTGACCTGGCTGATTTCCTACTGACTTTAAAAGTCAGACACTGAGCTGCCTCTTAGACCTGGTAGTTAAAGCTGAACCCCCCCCATAGCCGAATGCAAGTTCGAGTCCTAGACCAGGTGTGTGTGTGTGTGTGTGTGTGTGTGTGTGTGTGCCCAAAATCCCAAAAGGAGAGAGAGATGAAGAAGGGATTGCAGTGTGGCCATTCCCCACGAGGGTGCTTTCTCTTCTCACGCTGTCTCTCTCTGGAGAGTATGCAAGCCCTCCAGCCAAAAAAGAAAGAAAGGAAGAACAAAAGAAAAGGAAAGGAAGGAAGAGAGAAAGAAAGAAAGAAGGAAAGAAAGAGAAAAAGAAAGAAAAAGGACTCAGGCTCTGCTTCTTGTCAGGGCCTCTTCTCCAGAGCCAGGGCGACAGTGGCTATCAGGGGGGCCTAGGCTGACAGGACTCGAGGACTCCCTTGTCTCTGCCTGCCATCTGGAGTACAGAGTTCCCCCGGTCTCCACACTGACCCTTCCTTTGATGGGAATGTCCCCTTGGAGAATGTTAAAGAAAGAGTAGTCACTATTTTCCACCTCCTTTTTCTTCTTAGCAATGAAGTCGAAGTCTTCAAGAGGCCGTACCAAGCCCTTGCATCCCCCCTGTGTCTAACCCCTTTGGTTCAGTACTCCAGCAAGGCCACCAAGATACTCGTGTGTACACACACGTGTGCACACACACACACTCAGAGCATTTTATGACCCAACACTTCCACTCACTCTTAGGCATATAGCTTAAAGATACTTTCACAAAAAGACATGCATGGGAATGTCCATAGCAGCATTTCCTGTAATAAAAAGAAAAAGACAGGAAAGAAGTGAGGAAAGAAGGAAGAGAGGAGAGAGAAAAGAAAGGAACGCTAAAGTACATCAACAAGGGAATGGACTGTGGCATATCCATACTGTGGAATATTATGCATCAGTGAAAAAGAAACGAACTAAAGATGTGAGTATGCGCATGAATGAAGTTCAAATGTTTTTTTTTTAGAATTATTTATTTAATTTTATTTATTTATTTATTTATTCATTTATTTTAATTTGACCAGACACACACACACACACACACACACACACAGGGAAAGTGAGAAAACACACCACCAGGTCCAGGATTTGAACTGTGGTTAGCCATGTGAGAGTGTCCAATGCCTTAACCACCATGCCATTCACTTGTCCCTGAAACTCAAATCTTAATGTTGAACAAAAATGCCATGATACAGTTTAAATAAATGTGTGTTTGAAAACACACAAAAATCCACCATAGAGCTGAGGATTTACATATCCATGTAGGAAAAGAATGCTTAGGATGATCAGCCCCAAATTCAGGATCGTGGTCTCCTGTGGAAAGTAGGAGAATTCAGCTCTAGTTGTCCAGTTTGATTAAACTCGGCAGCGGTTTATGAATACGAATCAGATTATTGTTTTGCATCGTATATTTTTAAAAGACTAAATAAAGGGAAAAAAGAAAGCAGCAGGCAACTGACCCTGTTGGGAAGTATTTATTTACCACAGCAAGGTTTGTTCCACAGTGTGACATCAGACATAGGACTGCAGTGTCTCATGCGACTTCTTGTGCTTCAATTCACAACTGCAAAATAAACACACACTGAGCATTTGACAAGAGGAAACAAGGAGGCAGCGACAAATCACAAGGACTAGGCCTTCCTTTCCTTTTTTTTGACGGACCTCACCTCAAGCTGGCTTAGGCTATGACCCCCTTCTGCCCAGAACTCATTCATATGTGAGACAATTCACCCTGAAGAACGTTGCTCCTGCCTGCCCTCCGCCGAGCTCTGGGGCGATCTGTCGTCCAGTCCACACCGAGAGTCCTATCTGAAACCCAGAAGGGCAGGTGTGTGCCAGGCCTTGATCAATAGACACTCAACAAGTAGATATTGATTAGATGCAGCAGTGGAGCCACAGGTGTGTGAGGGTGACTTACTAATTCTTATCCCCATGTCATTGTCACCCAGACCACCTTTTGGGCAACAGCGTAGTCTGAAATGGTCTCCCGTGTTCTTCTCACCTCCGCTTCCCACCCTTCTTAGAAAGCGATCCCTGGCAAAGGACGTGGCGTTCCTTTTGAAAACGATCAGATGCATTCTTACAGACTCAAGGGCTCTGATTTGGTAGCAAATTGCAAGTATGTCTGGCACAGGCGAAGCCGCCGAGAACATCGCTGGAGTTGTGTGGGGACGCGGTCTGACATCTCGAGGTATTTGGAAATTCACTAAGATGGAATTTCGGCGGCGAAGCACAGCAGGCATCCGCTCTTCTGTTCATTGCGTTGACAGGGACACTGAATAGTCATTAGCTGGGTGGTAGTGCCTCCATGTCACGGACTCCCAGGCCAGCTGTAAGATGTCTGCTACCTCTACCGCCGACAACAGCGAGGGCCCTCATTTTACGCATTTGCACTGTCTCTCTCAGTCTAGTCCCTCATACGTGTATTTATGGAGCACCCACGGGACAGCTTTATCCTCGGCACTTGGAACACACCAGAGAACGGAACACGCAAAGCCCCCTGCAGACCTCTCTCATTTCCGGACGTCCCCACTAAGTGACAAGATGACCGACACCCAGAATGTTCTGCGGCAGAATCTGACCCCTCGCAGGGACAACCTTCAGTCTGAATTCTGGAAGACTACACTTTTGCCATCCCACAAAACGGATGTCTCACGATGGAACAGCTGTGGGTGGAGTTCACATGGTGGGAGCAGCTCCTGCCTCGCCACCTCCAACACCGTTTGGTGGGGCGGTAAGGTGGGCACACAGATTTACAAGGAAGGAGAACCCATGTTTCTTGATTTTCAGTCTAGAATCCAAACTTCCCTGGGTTAGAGCTGCCGATATTGCCAGGAAGAGAATGGCAGTCAGCTTACACAGGTAATATTTTGCTCTCTTTTTACCATGCTGACCAAAAAGAAGAGACCAGAGTGGTGAAAAGATCTCAGAGACGTTAACTCTCTAACCACGAGTGAATGCTACACCTGGAACACCTGGCCAGGCTCACGCAACCTGAAAGATCGAGGTTTCCATATCTGAAAGAGGGATTTGTTTTTTTTTCTATTTCTTCAGAGAGCGTCAACGTTATTGATAACGCTTTGCTATTTCCATACGGAAAGGGCAAATAATGAAAATAAAGGCCTCTGCTGGGTCTCAGCGACAGGCCGGTGTGACTTGACTTACTGGAGGAATGAAGACCCTACCCACTTTGGCTAGGAATTCTCCCTTACATCAGAGGACAGGGGCGACATCTGAGGACCCAGTCCGATGTCGGCATAAAGGAGTCCAAACACAGAATGTGTGGTTCTGGAAATGCCCGGGAGGGTTCCGGCACTTTCTGGGCATTCTCAGCCGCCAACTTGCAGAGAATGGCAGAACCAAATGGAAAGTGATCTGCCGGTGGCCTCGGAGTTGGCCCTGAGCCAGGGGTCGCCTGCAGCTTTTAAACACTGTTTCACAGAGCGACTCCCATGCCGACAATCTTACTTTCACAGGCAGCCAAACCGAGCTGCTGAAGGGTGACAACAGAACCCAGGAGTCCTGTTCACAGGGGAGTGTCATATCCACTCAGCAAGGCTCATCATTGTATTTTTTTACAAAGTTTTTTTTTTTTTTTTTTTTTTTACCATTGGGTGTGTGCACTCACTGGAGAGGTACAGAGAGAGACAGTGAGAGGAATCACCCCGGGGGGGACGACCATGCTGCAATCCCTTCTTCTCCCTTCTCCTCTCGGCATTTTAGACGTGCATACACACACTCCTAGTATGACTGCCAAGCTCTCGGGTGTGGACTCGAGCCATGGTCACCATGGGGGAGTCCAGTGCCTTAACCACCATGCCACCGGCTGGCCCTGATAACTGAAATGTACTCAACAACACCTATTGGAATAACAGGGTAGGAATCCAAAGCCTTGTTGCTGGTTCTTTACTGATTAAAGTGGTAGGTCCTGAAAACCGAGGAAGGGAGGCAGGTTTGAAGACTTCCATGGCCTTTGTAAGGTATCTCCCATCCCCAGCTCCAAGTAGCTAGGTGGAATTGCCGAAATGAACAAGCAGATTCCTCCTGGAGTGGCGGGATGCTGAGAAGGGGTGGGTCTATCTCAGAGGGTCACTTTGCTGACACTGGTGAACGTGAGTGACAACTAGCATTCAGAATCCAGCCCCATGACTAGCAGGGGACCTGCCCGTATTTTGTCAGGAGGGGGTCTCCCCAGGATAATACAAGCTGATTTTGAGTCAAACAGTAAAGTTCTTCAAGAAAGAGCACAAAATCCAGTCCAGGAGCAGCATCTGAAAATGCATCTAAAATGTTAAGAACTAAAACTAAGTGTGTACGAGACAGAGGTTTTACATTTCGCACTGATGGGGGGCTGGCCGGTGTTGGGCTGACTGTCCAGGTTAGGGTTCCATCAAGGACTGGGGGTGAAAACCTGTCTGGCATGTTGTAGGTTTCTCCAAGTGCGGTCCCCAACCTCTGCGAGGCTGCCCGGGGCTTATTTAGAATGGCGGCTCCTGGGCTTGGGCGGGAATGCTGTTTAGGAATGTCCACCTGCCAGCCCAGAAGTCTGCTGGTGACTTTTCACACGCTCCGATTTGAGACCACTGGGTTGCTCCCTCGCAGGGGAGCTTGACTGGATGCTGGCTGAGGTTTCATCCCACCCCGGACGGTCGCTAATTCTCTGCGTTGGTCCGAGACACTTGTATTTCCTTCTTCATTTTTAAAATGCTTATTGGTAACAAGCCCAACTCCTCTTTGCAGCCATTCTCCCTAAATGAAGCTTTCTGTAGAACTGGCGCTGAGCTGTGTTTGACTAGCGTCTCTGTCGGTGACACCGCTGGGCACTGCGTTCCGCAGTGGGACCTGCTGTCCCATCTCCCTGCCCAGCCCTATTCTGCGGCTTTGCAGAAATGGGAGTACGATGGGAGAGGATCAGGGTCCTGGCTGCTGTGACCAAGTCTGTCTCTGTCTTCTGGTGTCAGGTGAGGATGATGGGGCACAAGGAGGAGGTGGCAGAGGACAGCTGTGGCCGGAGGCAGGGCCGTGCCCCAGCAGGGAGGCCGGCCAGTGTCTGACTACAGGTGCAGCTGGTGCCACATGGCGATCTGCCTGCGGGGGTTTTTGAGCATCTCCTCCCAGTGGCTGCGCTCGGAGCCTGAGGCGTGCAGGCCCAGGCTGCAGCGGCCCAGCACGCAGCTCTGGCCCGCCTCGTCCTGGCCCAGCACCTCCAGCTCCACACTGGAGGCCCGCAGCAGGTCATCGGGCAGCTCGAACATGATCATCTCGTTCCACACGGGGTTGATCTTGTGCTTGGCCCGTTTGGTCTGCTTCTTCTTCAGCTTCTGAGCCTGGTGCTTCAAGGTCACCTTGACAGAGACATCTGGGGAAGGACAGAGAGAAAAGAGACAGAGAAAAGGGTCAAAAGTGAGCTTTTGGAGCCTGGTGGGGCCCAGGATGATGACGATCTCTCTCTCTCTCTCTCTCTCTCTCTCTCTCTCTCTCTGTTTTTGCTATAGGGTGTGTGCACTCACCAGAAATAGAGAGAGAGAGACAGAGAGACAGAAGTGAGAAATCACCCCCTTAGGAGATGGCCATGCTGCAATCCCTTCTCCTTCATTTTCCATTCAGGCTTTGGGCACATATGCACACGTTCCCAGCGTGAATTTTTAAGCTGCTGGGTCTGGGACTCGAACCATGGTTTACTACGTGGGCGTCCAGCAACATAACCATTTCGCCATCTGCTGGTCCCCAGAATGATGATACTTTCTCTTGGGGATGGAAAGGGTGTCTCTGGCTCGAAATTCGCATTCAGAATTGCTCTCCAGTACCCCTCGCTGGGGCGTGTACTCATTCCACAGTTACCAAGTGTCTACCATGTGACAGCCACTGCCATGGGGCACAGTGAAAGGTCCTGACCCTGGAGAGCTTGTGCTGAAGCGTGGGGAGCACCGCTCCTTATCAGCAAGGCTGGGCATTAGGGGGCCATGGTCAGGGCACCGTCAGGAGACCACGGTTGGCCCTGAGCCCTTCCAAATAACCCCAGATCCCCACGTCAAGCCCAGGACAATGGCTCGGGTGTCCCCGCAGCTCGATTTGAAACTCAGACCGCCCCCAAAAAAGCCAATCCCATCTCTTCATCCCCTTGACTCTCTGTCCAAGCATTTTTGTCTAGTATTATTATCTTTTTAGAGTTGTTCTTTAAAGAATTATGTATTTAATTTTATCTGTCATTATTATTACTTTACAAATTTGACCAGAGAAAGACAGCAACAGAAAGAGAAAGTAAGAAAGCAAGCCACCAGGTCCAGGACTCAAACCATGGCTGACCATGTTGGAAGTCTAGTGCCTTAACCACCACGCACCTGCTGGCCCCTAGAGTTTTGTTTTTTAATGGCCAGAAATGCATCCACTCACCAGAGGGAGACAGAGACAGAGAAAGAGAAAGCACCCCGCAATTGGGTATGATCATGGCAAGGTCCTTTCTCAACCCTGTCTGGATTTGGGGCACACGTGCCCACTGGTTTTCAAGCCACTGAGGCCAGGACTTGAACCATAGCTGCCATGTGGGGTGCAGCTCCCTAACCACGGAGCTACGGGGCTGGCCCTGTGTTACTAACATAATCGGTCCCCTGGTGGTTGCTTGTGTTCTTCTCATCTGTTCTTTCGTAAGTCTTACTTGAGCACCCCACTTTGCTGGGGGAGGGGATAGGTTGACCCCCCACATTGCTCCAATAGTACTGCCCCCCGGGAAACTCACAAACAGGTGGGTCACTAGACAGAGTTTCCCATCAGGTGACCAGACTCTGGACCGGATCACTTTTCCGTTAGTCAAGGTTCCTGAAGCTGATGTGAGAAGAATTACTTTGTATTTATGGCTGTAACTGTCACCCTGGGCAGCTCAGAGCTCTCTGAGGGACAGCGGTTGTGACTGCAGTCGTCCTGGCTGGAGCTCTAAAGGGCAGGAGGTGGACACTGACCCGGAGCTGCCAGGACAAGGCCCTGAATTCTGACCTCTGGCTCTTGCACCTGCCAGCTAGGCCACTCCTGATTTTCTTGACCCCATCGTCTGCCCTGAGATCCGGACTATCGTGGCAACTCTTGATAGCTGCCTTGCTAGAAATGGAGATTTATTTATGCCCTGCTCCGAACACCTGGGTTCCTGTTCAGGCGTTGTCTGGTTAACCGAGGCGGTGTTGCTGCTCTGAGAGGAGAGGCTGCTTTAGTCCCCCAGACTTGGGACCCCTGCTGGGGTATCCAGAAGCGGGGACGGAGGCTTCCAGAATGTGGCAGAGATGCCTGCTTGGGTATATGGGGCACAGACACCCTGGGCCTTCTGCCTCAGCCCGCGTACCCACACACCTTCTGCTGTCACCCACGCTCAGCTGGTGTGCGGGTGGCAGTTGGCAGAGAGAGGAGAGGAGACTGGGGTGGGGCGGGGAGTGCAGAGGCAGCTGGCTGAGACGGCAGGAGAACCGGGATTTTTTTTTTTTTTTTTAAGAGAGAGATTTTTGCTATAGGGCACATGCACTGGCCGAAGAGACAGAGAGACAGAAAGTGAGAAATCATCCTCCCCTCAAGGGGCATGGCCACGCCGCAATCCCTTCTCCTTCATTCTCCTCTCGGGATCTTGGGCACGCTCGCACATGTGCCTGGCGTTGAGTTTTAAGTCATGGGTCCCAGACTCGAACTGTGGTTGACTACATGGGAGTCCAGTGACATAACCATTACGCCATCTGCTGGTCCAAGAACCTAGGATTTCTGACACTTGCCTGAGAGGGAAGGTCCAGCCAGGTCTGAGACAAGGCATCAGCCTGACCCATGGTTAAGGCCAGTTCCGGGTGGGTCCCCATGGCAGGGAGCCAGGTCCTCATGGCCGTCCTGCTGAGCGGGTTGGCCAGGGTGAATGGAGGCAAGCGCAGAGAGTGGGCGTGGCCTTCGCAGTCAGTCTGTGAGCCTCGGGCAGGGACACAGCTGAGGGGCTCCACGAATGTGCCTCTGTTGGACCTCCCTGCTCGCCTGTCCCTGGGCCTCCCAGGTGTCACCTCCCTCTGCACACGGCTCCCTGCCGCTCCCCACTCACCCTTCCCCAGGAGCTCCTTGGACTGATGAGAGTGGAGGTTCTTGGCTTTGATCAGTACCACCAGCAGGCGGCTGGCGGCCGGGAGATAGCTGACAGACAGGAGCACCTCGCCGGTCCCCGCCGATGGCTCCTGCAGTGGACGACACCAGGAGGGGGATCGTTTGGGGTGGCCTCTGACCCCAACCAACAATGCTGAGGCCGAGGCCATGCTGGGCTTGTCCCCAGCAGGCCTCCTAGAAACCATGTCCCCTTGGACACGCTGGTGTCCCCCCTCGCAGGAGGAAGCAGGGCACGGAGGGACTACATTGACGTGGGCTTCGCCGGGGACTGCTCACCACGTACTGTGACTTCGCCCAGCCTGCAATCAAACCCAGCTTAGAAGCAGAGCAAACTGCTGGCCCCTCGGGAAGCCAGCCCCTTTCCCCCTCCCCCATCGCCTCCACTCCCTTTTCCCCAGACTCCTGGGCCAACGCCATGGAACTGGAGTCCCCAGGGAACACAGTCTGACCTCACTGCATTCACCCAGCAGGCTCTGGGGCAGGAGTTGTCACGTGTGATGTTATTCGAGACGGTTCCTTCGAGACGGTTCCTTCCAGCCCCTGCAGCTAACAGAGTCCATAAAGCACCAGGACAGTTCTGAATGGGGCTGGCTTCCTCGCCAGGCGGGCCAGCGGTGTGGACAGAACCCTGGGCAGTGAACAGCAACGATGCAGGGGCGAGGGTGACAGTGCCCCTCAGAGGGGGTGCTGCTGTCACCGTGACACACCCAAACACACCCGTCCCCAGGTGCGGCTTCACGGAGCGTCCCGGCGGAGATTCCTCTGAGAGCTTGTGCTACTGACTGGGATGTGAGCGTGGTATTTTACTTCTCCAAATGTTAGTTCCTTGGTCAGAACAAAAAGGGGGATTTGCCCAGTCAACAAACACGAGGGATCTATCTAAAGTTCGTGAACAATGTGTATTAGGCATGGATTTCAGGGTTTTTTTGCACCAAGAGAAAGTCATACTTAAATTCCATTTTCCACGAACTTCTTGAAGTCCCCGCATCCCTAGAGCACCTACTATGTTCCAGGTGCTTTAATTACAGCAGAGAAGGCAACACTCGGGGGGCACGCAGTCACAGGGGGAGAGACAAGGAGTAATTAAGTACTTAACGCCGGGCTGTGTTAAAGGCGAGGAAGAAACGATGGCAGCCGGTCAGATGAGGAAGTGCGTATGTTATACGAGTCCTCACTAAAGGTCATAAATGATCATTCCAATGATCACTAGTAACCTAGAACTAGTTTATATAACGCCAAGGACACAGGCTCCAGGGCCAGACCGTGTGGGCTGAGTTCCAGTCCTACCGCTTACTGGCTGTGTGACCTTGGGTAAGTGGCATAACCTTTCTGAGCCTCCATTTCCTCATGATTCAACTAGCCACCATGACTAAATGCTTTGGACGCCATGAGGCACCCTGGTGATGACGCGGATGGTAGTGGCCAGCCCTTCCTGAACACAGTGTGACGTGCAGTCCCGCCGCCTGTCACTAGACCCCGAGCTCCAGGACACATCCATTCCCTCTGTACCCCAGCACGTCGCACACAGTAGGCACACGATCAACACCTGTGAGCAAAAGCTGAGCCGTAGCTTGGAGTACCTCACCCCTGAGATACGCCGGCTGAGCTTCTCCCCTTTCAGGGTAAGAGCCTGATGCTCAGAGAGGGCGCATCGCCGCCCGAGGTCACACAGCCAGGAAGTGGAGACACCGAGGCTCGCACCCGGGTCGGTTCCGATAGCAAAGCCCAAGTCCTAACTCCCTCCGCCTCCTCAGTGGGCTTTCATTTCACGGTGAGGGACCCGAGTGCCCGGAAGTGCACCAGGCGCCTGGTGGGCTGACGGCAGCTGGGCGGGCAGCCCCCTCCTCAAGGTCACATACTGGAGACACAGGGTGACCGGCTGCCCCAGAACAGGAGCGTCAGCCCCGAAAGGCTCTTCACCTCCGTGCACAGTGTGGCTCTGGGCCGGCCCAGCAGGTGGTACATGGCCAGAGCGTGCTCACGGCACCTGTGCCCACAGCACGCCTCTGGGAGTCCCTGCCGACCGCTCTCCCCTGTCTGTCCTCCCCCTGGTGGCTCTGGCCCACTCCTCCTCCCGGGCTCTCAGTGAATCATTCAAGACTGCCCTCAGTGTGGGTCGCTCTGGTGACGCACATGCCACTTTTTGCTGAGTGTCTTCCGGCTAGAACTGGGGCGCTGCTGCCACCTTCGCTAATCCCTTCCGGCCTGGAGAAGCGACACCTCTGGGCTGCAAGAACGGAAGGTTCCACCTGCCTTGTCTGGGCGAGGGGCCCCCTGGCCAGGCCTCGGGCTCTCTCCTGCCACATACACCCCGTGTCACCATCTACTTCTGACTCCCTGCTGCCCCGAGACTGCTCGCATTTTGGCAAATGGCCCAGTGGTCAAAATAGAAGTGACAGTCTATCTGCAGAACAGTGCCAGTTACAGCAGATAGGATGATGATCGGTGAAAGGGCCCTGAGGCCGGAGCCTCATCTTAATCACGGTTGCTGGGCGCCCACTCCCGGCGCAGTGCCTGGCACACGGTAGAAACTGGGCAAGGCATCAGGGAACGAATGACTGCTCTGGACGGGGATGGAGGCAGGCCAGGTGTCCGAGACTCTGCCTAGATGGGCTGGATTTCAGTCGCTGGGGACAGCACCAAGGCCTCGAAACCCAGGGAGAGTCTCTGCCCTCCAGAGAAAGCTCATTTCCTGGCTTAATACCCCAAAGCGTTGGCTCCTTCTCCCAGAGTCCCCGTCTGTGACTTCATGCAAGTCCCGAATCACACACTAATTGGAAAGCGTGCGTTGGAAGAGCTGGTTTCCTCTGAGTTTTCCAAGTCAGGGAAAAGAGAAAAACGGGGCGAGGAGGAGCCGGGGCCAGGGCAACTGCAGAAATGCGGTGGAGCCGTCTGCTGGCCAAGGTGCCTGCGGTCACGCTGGTCAGACACCTGCACAGCAGCGGGGAGCAGACAGCACCGGTTTCACAGACCGTCCCGGCCTCAAGGTCAAGCTCGGCTGGGACCCCTTGTGGGCCAGGTGACCCCGTGTGGGTCCCTGAACCAAGGGAAGTCCCAGTTCCTCCATGTGTAACCGGGACTATCCCGGCGTCTCCCCACTTGGTTGGCTCGGGAAGGAGGCAGAATCTAGGTCAAGTGCTGGGATGTATGCTGAGGGCTAAAACCAGGAGGCAGGATGGTGGTGCCTCCGGGAAACGCGGCTCTCCGAGGCAATGCCCCATGGGAAGGGTCCCGGTTCACGTCCAGAGACCTCCCTGAGTGCTGGGCATACAGTTGCCCATGGCCCAGGTCTGGCCAAGGCCGGGAGTGGATCAAGTCATCAAGACCCTAGTGGGGATGCTGTCTCTCTGCTGCTCTCTCTTTCTCTCTCTCATGGAAGAAATAAATAAATTAAAAACAAAAACAAAGCAAACAAAAAGCAGCGCCCGACTGGTGTTTCCATTGCTCTCGTACGGGGTTGGTGCACTTTCCGTCGGGGCTACAGCAAGCCCGGGGCCTGTGTGAGTTATGTAGTCTCTAGGTAAGGCGTTGCCTGCCTGCTGGGAGGATTTGCCGTCCAGACAGGTCCCTCCAGACAAAACGGCGGCACCCCTCGAATGAGACTTTAACCTGGGGCCTCCGAAACCGCATACGGTCCACAGCCCCGACCCTGGCCCTGCTGTGGTCCGCTTCCAAGGAGCCCCCCTCCGAGGGTATGTGGCATCTCGCTCCTCTTTCTCACAGCAGAAGGGTGAAGAAATCCCCCCAGGCGGGTGACTGCATAGACCCCCCAGGCTCTGGGTCTACCCCCAGCCCAGTCGCTCCATCAGAGCTGGTGCGAACACCTCTGTATCCAGGCCCTCCAGAATTCTCCGTCAGAGCTCTGTTAGGCTCTCTTAGATGTCTTGGGATTCCACCCAGGTCGGATAGCCTCGCTGTCCTCGTCACCACCACTGTCTGTGCCGTTTGGCCCTCTGGCCTGTGAACTCCGAGATCAGGGGCCCTGCTCTTCCTCCCTTCATGGTCATCCCCATGTGCCAGCACATGGCAGGAGCGCGGCCTCTCCCCAGGTTCTGGTGGGCCGAAGTCGGCAGAACCCCGGAGCTGACACACGCACAGCGTGGCCTTCCCTGGTGCAGGGACAGTCTGCACAGTGAGCTTGAAGCCAGGCCGGGAACGAGCACCAGAACGCCAAGGCCTGGGCTCCAGGCCCTGAGTCTGTCCTACTCCATCTCCAGCCAACCCCCCTCCTGCCCCCGCCGAGGTCTCTGCAGTGTGCTGCTTAAGCACTGCCCATCCCCACCCTACCTTAGCAGAAGTCTTCAGCTCACCCCACTGGGCAGCCCCCAGGGGCACAGACACCCCATCCAGGCCCAGGCGGAGCTCCCCAGCCACGCTATGGCGGGAGAAGCGGTCGCAGGTCCTCAGGGTCAATGTCAGGGTGGCTGTGGGCAGCTCCTCGTCCGCCAGGGGGAGCACCAGGCCCTCCTCCCAGGTGGTATGTAGCTGCCGCTTCTTCAGGGCCGTCTGGGCCTCCACGGAGCCGGTCCTGTTGGCCACGCTGCCTTGGACGTAGCAGTCACAGCCTCCTTCGTGGTCACTGGTCACAGCTGCAATGTGGGACAAAGCAACAGACACGGGACCTTGTGAGGACAAGTGGACAGAGATGCATGCCCTTGGTCCAGAATGAGACCCAGGACTGACCTCCCCTGGCACCATGGAATCACCTGGCCATAAGCAATTTAGAAGCAGGTACTCCTCGGGACTAGCAGGTGGTATGGTGGTTAAGGCGCAGGACACTCCTGCATGGCGGACAACGGTTCGCGTCCCAGACCTGATGGCTTTCACTTTCTCTCTCTCTCCCCCCCCGCCCCCCCCCCCTCCGTGTGTGTGTGTGTGTGTGTGTGTGTGTGTGTGTGTGTGTGTGCCTGGTCAAATTAAAATAAGTGAATGAAAATAAGTGAATGAATAAATAAAATTAAATAAATAATTATTAAAAAACAAAAAAGAAGCAGGTGTTCCTCCTGGAGCCAGTGTCCGCACATGCTGGCCGGCCTCGGAGGACAGGGGTGGAACTGGGCACCTCCCAGAACCCATCCAACCTCACCTTCTAAGACCCCCAAGGTGCCGGCTACTACCGTGGTGCCTGTGAGTGCTGACCCTGAGCCTCATCGCCCTGCACTTAGCTGTTTACGGCACAGCCCTCTGTGACGGGAAGCACTCCGTGGCTGCCACGTGGACACTGACGTTTCCCACAGAGCTTCGAGAGACTATGTGGTCCCGTCTCTGTCACCTGTAGAAGTGACCTTAAACATTTCATGAATTGCTAGATCTCAGTTTCCAAATGGGGCTACTGTAGACACCAAACACAGTAAAATATGGAAGTACTTATGAATATTAAAAGACAACCCACTTAAAAAAAAAAAAAAGAAAAAGAAAGACAGTCTGGGCTGGTAGCCTAGTGGTTAGGGGAGCCAGCTCCCACATGGCCAACCATGGCTTGAATTCTGGCCCCAGTGGCTTGAAAAACATGCCAGGCACAAGTGTGTACATGCCCCAAATCCAAACGGGATGGAGAAATGGGTGAGAAGGGAATGTGACACAGCTGTGCCCCAGGGGAGGGTGCTTCCCCCTCTCCCTGCCCCGCCCCCTGTCTCTGATCTCTCTCTGTTGAGAGCATGCACCTTCTGGCAATTAAGAAAAAATACAAACGTACAAGTCATCTGGCCCCATTGCTAGCCCTGATTCGTGGATAGTAAGGGAGCTGTTGGGGCAGGGAGACCACGGGCGTCCTGACCCCTCAGAGACTGACTGCTCTTGGACTGCAGAGAACAGAACACCCTCATGTCCAGCTCAAGGCCCTGTCCACAGTCAAAGACCCCCTCGAGGAGACTGCTGGCTGTTCATGAAAACTCGTTTCCTCTTCGTACTCGGCACCCTGTGAGGCTCCATTTCCCAGCTTCCTTTGCAGCTGGGTGTGACCACGGGACTGAGTTTCAGCAAAAGGGTGTGAGCAGAAGTCACCCATGCTACACTGAGGGAGGGGTACTAAGAAATGGCTGTGTCCTCTCCAAGTCCTCTTTCTCCTGCCACCTGCTGGACACAGAAGACAAGGAGACCTGAGGGGACGATGCAGCCACACATGGAAGGGACCTGGTGCTGGAAGCACCGCGTGGAGGGAAGATGTCTGCAGCCAGGATTCCTCCCCTGTGAACTCTCCACGGAAGGAGAGAGGTCTGTGTGTCGAGAGCCCTGCGTCCCGGGATCTGCATGGTATGGGGCCACTCCAGTGTTCCCTCCCCTGCAGGGACACAGCCAGACCAGCACCGGGAGCAGCACCTTCCAGGTGGGTGACAAGCAGCTCAGCCTTCTGCCGGTCGTAGTTCAGGCAGTAGTGGAGTTTGGGGGCCTGGTTCCAGCGGGCAGCCTTCTCCGGGTTCCAGGTCTCCATGACACACACGTCCTCCACCACACCTGTTCAGAGAGGCACAGCTGTCACCGCTATCCACACCGGGGGCTCCGTTTTCCAGACCACACCGTTCCCGTCTCCGGACCCATCCCACAAATCCGAACCCAAGCTTCCTAGCCCCGAAGCGTGGCCCCGCTGGGGCAGCACCCATGGTCACAGGCGTGGCATTTCAAGGGACATCACAGCCCGGTGGGCAGGTCGTGGGTTGGTGTCAGACACGGCCTGCTGCATCCCCGCCGGGGACGCTGCGTAAGTTACTTGGCTTCTTTGAACCTTCGAACCTCAGTTTCCTCCACTCAGTGCTGGGCGTGCTAAGCGTCCCTCTTCCCTTCCCCGGCGCATTAAACGAAATGAAGCAGGCAGAGTTCTTAGCCAGGACCTGGCCTGAGCCTTCAGTAAGGAAAATGGTCACAGGCTGTGTGATTCTGGGACCCCGCGTCAGGCCGGCCATCTCCAGCCCCACCTCTCCTGCTCCCCGGGAGTAAAGGTCTAAGACGGGTCAGGAGTAGATGCTGGGGCAAGGTCAGGGGTACTGACTTCAGCACATGTTCAATAGATATTTGCTGATGGACCAGCAGATGGCACAGTGGTTACGTCGCTGGACTCCCACATAGCTGACAGTGGTTCAAGTCCCAGGCCTGGCAGCTTGAAACTCACACTGGGAGGACCAGCAAATAGTGTAATGGCTACGTCACCGGACTACCATATTGTCGACCACAGTTCGAGTCCCAGACTTGCTGGCTTAAACTCACACAGGGCACATGTGCGTGCATGCCCAAGATTCCGAGAGAAAAATGGAGAAGGGATTGCAGTGTGGCCATCCCCCCGGGGGGAGATTTCTCACTTTCTGTCTCTCTGTCTCTGTCTTCCTGGTGAGTGCATGTGCCCTATAGCATCATTATATTCTTGCAAAAAAGAAAAATAAAACCAAAAAAAAAAAAAAAAAAAAAAAAAAAGACACTCACGCTGGTTGTATGTGTGCCCAAAATCCCAAGAGAAGAATGGAGGAGAAGAGATTGTGGCATGGCTATCCTCTCTGGGGGGTGATTTCTAGTTTTCTATCTCTCTGTATCTCTGTCTCTCTCTCTCTGTCTCTCCAACGAGCACAGGTACTCTATAGCAAGAAGTCCTCTCAATAAATAAATAAAGACTTGCTGAGCGAGTGAAGGCCCTTATCTTTAACCCAGAAGTCCTTAAAACCTCCAGTGCGGCTCCCTCTCCCCCTCCCTTGCCCAGGAGCCTGCATCTGGAAGATTCTCCATGGGCAGATAAGAGGAAAGGATCCCGTAGCTGCAGCCTTACTTCACCTTAAACAAAGTGGAATTTGATTTCTGATTGTCAAAGCTAATTTAGAGCAGAATAGAGAGGACTGTTTAATTTCCCAGGTGGTTCATTAGCAGGTTCCGGCAGCAGTGGCACACTCCCCTAGGGTATCTAAGAAAGGGACAGGCCAGCCGGGCTGTGACCAGTGTGTGCACGGGACCCACGCGGCTCCCACAGGCGTCAACGCAGACGAGGGCGGCCGTGTCTGTGTTAGAAGCACCCAGGGACTCAGCTCCCAGCCTCCGCCTCCCACATCGGAGCCAAGCCCCACCCACGAAGTCCTGTGGTCGTGGACGAGGGGCTCAGGCTGACTCTGCTACTGCCCACCTCCAGGAGGGGCCAGGGTGCCGGCACCACTGCAAATGCAGGAGCAGACCCAGCTCTGAGACGGGGCTTGAGCCCTACCGCGGGCAGGGAGGGCAGAGCAGTCGGCACATCACCGGCCAGTGGCTGAATGACCTGGTCCTCCCCTGTGCACCCTCGTCTCTGGTCCATGCCTGCTGGACCAATCAACTCGGTACGAGATCTCTGTGGCATCGGAACCAGCATTGCCCTCTGGGAAAGGGAAGAGGAGAAAGCTAGCGTAGCCCAGCTCGGTGGCACGGGCGGCAGAGGGTCACTGTGATGCTGAGGCCACACGGGAAGGCCTGGGTGTGGACCCTGGACCGAGACCCAACTGCTGGTGTGCCCACAGGCACGCCCAAGGTCCCGGCTGGCTAGAGGGCTGTGGGGAGGATTCAGGCATGGCAAGACCCCCTTAGGGGTTCCTGTCTCTCTCTTCCTCTCTTTCTCATCTCTCACATGTGCAATAACTAAATCAGAAAGGAGAAAATTAATAAATATGTCTGAATCCTTCAAAGTTCTCCTTCGCAGAGAGAGTCCAATCCAGCTTGGAGAAATCTGTGGCTCCCCAGAGGATTATGAGTAGGCTTACCACCCCCGGGAGTCTTCACACGAATCACTCCTGACCCCAACCTGGAGTTCTCAGGTCTCGAGTGGGTCTGTTTTAAATCCATTTAATGTACAGGTGGGTTGGAACTGGCAGGTGGCATGGGGGTTAAGGGCACTGGACTCCCATGTGACTGGCCATGGTTCGAGCCCTGGACCTGGTGGCTTGATCTCTCTCTTTTCCTCTCTCTCTCCCTCTCCCTCTCTGGTCAAATTAAAGACATACATACATACATACATAAAATAATAAACACAGGTGGGCGAAACGGAGGGTCACAGCTAGCCAGGATTCGTTCACGCTACAGGCCCTATGTGGAGATGCCAGGCCAGTCACTGGTTCTGGGCCAGGGTGAGCAGGGACACCTGTCTGATGGCCAGTGTGGGGTCCAGGTGGGTCCAGACCAGGACATGCGCCCGCAGTGGGGACAGTGTCAGAGCCCCCTGGGCTGCTTCTGCATCCACTGCCTCCCACGCCAGCCACACACGTAAACCCCGGCCAATC